ATACTGGATGAGTAGTTTGACGGTTTCTTGAGGCTAGGAAACTGACGAGAAAGTCGAAAAATTCACAAATGGTCAGAAGGCTGCATCCCAGAAACAATCCCATGTTACCTCCGATCTCACCTACAGAAGGAAAGAAAACAAAAACCTTTAAAGATAATATCAACTTTAACAGAATTACGTAAGGGTGTGAAAGATCAGCATGGTTAATCACGTGCTCTGGATGTGTAAAGACCTAAAAAGAAGTTAGTTTTTTGTTTGTTTGTCATAGGTTTCAGTAGCAAGCCATTTGTACATCATTCAATCGTTTAACAATCACTTACAAAAAGCGCTATACTTACAAATCAGTCATTTGTCATTCCGCATTTAGTTGAATTAGAAAGTGTATAGGAAACAGATAGCGTTAACGAGAGGGTGGTGTTGTAAAAATCTGTCTGTACTATAATCTTGCACAAAATAACGTTTCTTACCAAACAAGGAGTTGCTATCGTAAGCTGGTTCCTGTTTTTGCATCTCATAACTCAGTGACTTGAATCCCACTTGTAACAGCACCAGATTATCCCTGAGAAGTGAGAATAATGAATGAATAACAAAATGTGCGATATTTATCATATGTTATGGGCCTTATTTTGGAAAAGGTAGTTTAAACCACGTTATTAATTTAGTAAATACCGACCACTATCTTTGATAATTTTATAAGGATGAAAATCAAATGAAATTGAAAATTGACTGAAATAACTCAACGTCGTATCATGCTCCGCTGAGTATAGTATGCGGACCTTTCATCTATGACTTACTTCTCTATAAAAGTTACACAAACAGGATTGACATACATCGAGGACAAATCACACTACCTTTGGTACTGCTCGTTGTCATAGTAGCCATCCAGTATAAGTGCATTAGCGGTGCCAGTGTCGGGGAACCTTGAATAAGATACTTCAGTATTGTACCTAGTCTGAGCACAGGGAACTTGGCAATCACAGATGTCCTCGTCTAAAGATGCTGCGCAGAAAAAGACATCATCACTAGTATATCCATCTAGAGATCACACGCATTTCATCTTGCTTATTTCTCAAGGGAATATTCGGAAAGGCAAACTTTTGAATTAATTGCTTCAAATCTGTCTTGA